TAATGGGATGGATAGAACCTACATTATCTGATGTTTTGTTCTGATCATCTTAATCATTTAAAATGTATAGTTTAGTAGTGTTAATATATTTAACATATTAAATATTAATTAATTATTAAATATTAATTGATTAATTAATATCAATTGTGTTAATATATTCATTGTTGTGAAGCTAGTCTTTAGAATCCTTAGAATCTGCGAATCTGAAATCCTATCCCATTAAATAATCCTTTCTCTTCTCTCTGTAGCCCCTAATAACTGCCATTCTACTTTCTGTTTCCATGAATTAGATTACTTTAGATCCCATATAAGTGGAATCATATAGTATTTGTCTTTTTGTGACTGGCTTATTTCATTTAACATAACGTCTTCAAAGTTCATCCATATTGTAACATGTAATAGGATTTACTTTTTTAAGGTTGGCTAATATTCCACTATATGTACATAGCACATTTTTGTTTTTAATTGGGTGATTTATCTTTTTATTATTTTTAAATTTTTAAATTTTTAAATTTAAATTCCAATTAGTTAACATACAGTGCAATATTCATTTCAGACTTATTTATTTATTTAAGAGAGAAACAGTGAATGGGGTAGAGGTAGAGGGAGAGAATCTCAAGCAGACTCTCCACTGAGCATGGTGCCCCATGTGGCTCAATTTCACTACTCATTAGACCATGACCTAAGCTGAAATCTCAAGTCCAATGTTCAACCAACTGAGCCACCCATGCAGGTATCATCAGCTTAGTATAAGGGACAATACTAATGACTTGCTTGTTTGGAATGACTTTTTTTTTTAACCTCTCTCTATACTTATTTCAAATGCACATACTGGAACTTTTGTTTAAGATATAGTCATGTACTTAAAACTGGGCAAATTGTAATTCTTTACCTCTCCCTATATCCACATCCCTTGCAAAATGACTTTGCAAATTCATCTAATGAGAGTGCATTTCCTTACCCACTGTGTTGAGTTTGGCTAAGCAACTAGATTTAACCAGTGGAAAATGGGAGGATGGGATACTGTATGAGTTATGAAACTGGGAGACATTGTGTTTCTTCATTTGCCTGTTTACATTTTTGTCATATTCATAAGAAAAATCTGCTCCAGGTGCCCTGCTGATCCCAGAGGAATAAAGACATATGAAGCAGGCCTGCCATAGCAGAGACCAAATCCAGGTGAAATCAATCAGCCTATATCAACTCAGTTGGAGCTGACCCCACAGACAATTGAGCATGAGATAAACTGGGTTAAAAAAAACAAAAACATTATATTCCTAATGGCTGGTCATACAGTGTTATTATAGCAACAACTGACACAAAAGCAATTTCTCATAAATTTTTATCATTTCAACTTTGAGTATAAAATTAAATGACCATTTAGCCTGCAAGGTTCACTTCATGTTTTATCTTACCCATTGTCATCAGCAGCATAAATATAATCCTATCAACCACACTTGAAACATAGGAATCAGGTGGAAATTTGACTTCTTTCCTTCATTTATTTATCTGTAATTTATTGAAATTTTTTTGAAAATAATTTTTTTATGTAATCTTTCTTGCTCAATCTCCAAAGCCAACACTCTAGTACTAGATTCTCATCACTAAACTGTTATATTGGTGAACTTGGCCTTTATGTCCTGTTTTCTGTAATTTATCTTCCTTCTAATTATCACCAACATCAATAGCACCATCACTGATAATGTTTCTTCTCCTACTCTTTCCCTCTTTCTTTCATATATGCATATTTTTCATAGGGATTTATTAAACATATTAAAAATTAACATCATAGATGGAACAGAGAATACAAACTAGAATATAACTGAGGCTATCTTCAAAATAACAAATAGTTTTATTTAAAGCTCTATATAATGTTGAGATAAAATTAGAAACAGTTCCAACAAAATAAAACTAACAAAAATAACAAATAAACAAAAAAAAAACACCTCTCTCTTCAATAAGAAAGTCTATTCTTTAGAGTAAAATTACTTACAAAAGAGCAAGTACTCTCCACTTTTTCCACTTTGTAGGGACAACAGTAATATTTTATAATACACAAAATATCCAACAAAAATATTAAGATGTATAAACCTTTGATAAAAAGCTATGTGTGTCTTTTTTTTTGCCAGTTAAATTTTTTCCAATGTCTTGATTTGTTTTACCTTTAAATGTTAATAAACATGATTAGAATATTCATAGTCATGATAACCAGGGGCAGAGCATGTATACTTTTAATCTTCTTATTTGGACTTTTACCCCTCCTAACTTGCCTCCAGTAGTATCCTCAGTTTATTGTACTTTATGATCATGCTGAGAAGACCAACCTCCTCAGAGTATTCAGAATTCTCTAATTCTCAGCCAATAAAGTTATTTACTCTCTATAAAGGCTCCTTATCTGATAAAATTATTTTTATACAATTCTATATCTAGTGTTTGCCAAAGTGTTAAATTAACGCTTTCAGATTTCATCATTATGGGGGGGGGGAGCTTAGAGGTTTAAGCTAGTAAGTGCAATAATATGAAGTAGTGTAGAAGCAAATGAATACACAAGGACAGCGAGATGATGTGGAAAAAAATCTTTAATTCTAAGCTGAGAGACAAAGAAAGGCATCACAGAATGCTCAAAAGAAGGGGTAAAATTGATTTTGGCTTTACTACACATATTATTTCATTTATCCTACAATATTCACAGAATTATAATGATCTCTTCTTTAAAATTAGAAAGTAATAAATCAAATAAGTGAATCCTTGTTCCTAATGTTAAGAAATTAAGTGATAGGGTTGAGTTTTGAACTTAGATCCCTTTGCCTTTACGGGATCTTTTGAACTTAGATCCCTTTGCCTTTAATGCAAAGCACTTTCTATTCTAAGCACTGGGAATGACAGGCTCAAAAGCAAAAAGAAGAAAAACACAAGTGTGGGTAAAGAGGGATAGAAATTCAGGATGATATTCGTGTGATGAAGGTGAAAAAAGGTGATTATTATTGCAGAATTTCTATGTTGTTCTTTTTAGATGCTTTTTATGTTCAGGATGTGATATCACCTGAAGAAAAGAAGAGGAAATACATCCAGTTTTGATTTTCTGAATTTCATGTATTATTGAGTAGCTATATAAAAATGTTTGTAAGTTGAATTTCTATGTTCTGGACCTTAATTTCAACTAATTTATATTAGAGAATTTCAAGTTTAGAGGAATAAATTTTTGTTCAATATTAAATAGCTCCTAAGAGTTTGACATGAAATTAATAATTATTAAAATATTTATGCATTTTCTTATATAGGTACATATACTTCCATTATCTATTTTAGTATCTTATATATTCTAAGTTTTTATTAGGAATTTTACAATTTCTGAGTGTATAGTATTGTGGTCAAAGAACGTTGTAACACACTGGACCAGATATCACTGAACAGATATATTCAGAGCATATCAACCTAAAGCAGCAGAATAGACATCTTTTTAGAGTGCACATAGAACGTTTTCCAGCATAGAGACGCCTGGGTGCCTCAGTGATTGAGCATCTGCCTTTGGCTCAGGGTGTGGTCCCAGAGACCTGGGATCAAGTCCCACATCGGACTCCCCTGCTTCTCACTTTGCCTATGTCTCTCTCTGTGTATCTCTCATGAATAAATAAATATAATTTTTTAAAAAGAACATTCTCCAAGATAGATCATATTGGAAAAAATCAGGCTTCACCATTGCACAAAGATTAAGTTCATAAGATGTGTATTTTTAGACAACACTATGAAACTTGAAGTCAACTACAAGAAAAATATTAGAAGGACCACCTCCACAAATGGAGGTTAAAGAACATCCTACTTAAGAATGAATGAGTCAACCAGTAAATTAAAGAAGAAATAAAAAATACATGGAAACAAATAAAAATGAAAACCTGACAGTGCACAACCTTTCAGATGTAGCAAAGGCAGTCATAAGAAGGAAGTTTATAGCAATACAGGCCTACCTCAGGATGCAAGAAAAGTCTCAAATATACAAACTAACCTTATACATAAAGGAGCTGGAAAAAGACTGGCAAATAAAGCCTAAAACCAGCAGAAGAAGGGAAATAATTAAGACTAGAGCAAAAATAAATGATACAGAAATAAAAAAAAACCCAAAACACAGTAGAACAGATCAACAAAAGTAGGAATTGATTCTTTGAAAGAATCAACAAAATTAATAAACCCCAAACAGATCTATCAAAAAGAAAAAGGACCCAAATAAATAAAATCATGAATGAAAGAGGAGAGATCAAAATCAATACTGTGGAAATATAATAATTATATGAGAATATTATGAGTAACCATATGCCAACAAATTCAGCAATCTGGAAGAAACGGAAAAATGCCTAGAAATGTATAAACTACCAAAACTGAAAAACAGAAAGAGACAGAAAATTTGCACAGACCCATCACCAGCAAAGAAACTGACTCAGGAATAATAATTAAAAAAAAATCTCCCAAAAAACAAGAGTTCAGGGCCAGATGCCCATGTCTGCCTTGTTTTTTTTTTTTCTGTTGTTGTTGTTTTTTAACTTTAAACAAATTTTTATTACACAAAGGTTGTCACATAATTGGATATTTTTCTACTTTGTACACAATTATTCTTGCTCTCCACAGAAAGGCTGCTTAACTTTTCATCTGGTGATGGCAAACACTAAAATCCTGCTTTTAACAGAATAGTAGTAAAAATGCCTCAGTTATTTAAGTTGAAAGCAGTACGTTGGTACATGGCTCTTGCACTCAGTTATCAGGAATGTACAAATGTCTTTTTATTCAAAAATACAAAATAAATTATCTGTAGGCATGGACAATGACAGCAGCAAACCATTATATGTTGTCAACTGAAACCAATAACTGATGGTTATAGCAATTTTCTTAAACATCAGCCAGCCTTTTCTTCAGTCATTTCCTTCAACTGACTTAAGTTATGGTTGAGGAACACAGCCTTGAGCTTCCTCTTATAGTTCATTAAGAATGGCAAAGCACTATTCTAGGAATCAGAACATGCCACCTCCCATACCACCTCCCATTCCATCCATTCCACCCATTCCTGGGTCCTTCTCTTCTTTAGGAATTTCGGTGACTACAACTTCTGCCATAGTTAACAGAGAGACCACTCCAGCAGCATCCAATAAAGCAGTTCTTACCACCTTAGTTGGATCAATGATTCCTTTTTCCACCATATTCACAGAATCTTCAAGCATAGCATCATAACCAACTTGTGAGGAACTCTGCATAATTTTCTCAACTATCAATGATCCTTCAACACCTGCATTCTTAGCAATGGTCATTGCAGGAATTTTGAGTGTTCTCTTAATAATTTCAATACCAATTCTTTGATCTTCATTAGCTGGAGTTATTGAATCCAAGGCTGGAATGCACTGAAGCAGGGCACAACCCCCTCCCAGAGCAACGCCTTCTTCAACAGCAGCTCTTGTGACATTGAGGGCATCTGTAACTCTGTCTTTCTTTTCATCCACTTCAACATCAGTTGTCCCACCAACCCTCAACACAGCTACTCCATCTGAGAGTTTTGCCAGACGTTCATTCAGCTTTTCCTTTCATATTCACTAGTTGTGATATCTAACTGCTCAATGATTTCTTGAATACGTTTTTCAATTTGATCCTTGTCACCTTTTCCTTTTAAAAGCATGGCATCATCTTTGGTCACAATGCCCTCTCCAACTTTTCCTAAGTAATGAGGCTGAACATCTTCGAGATTTAGAGTCAATCCTTCTTCCCCAAACACTGCACCACCAGTAGCAATAGCCATATCTTTAAGCTGGTTCTTTCTATTGTCACCCAAACCTGGAGCTTTGACTGCCACAACTGAAGACCGACTTTTAGCCTATTTAAAACAAGTGTACTCAGAGCTTATCCATCAACATCTTCAGCAATTATGACCAATGGCTTACGGTGAGCATTGGCAATTTCAAGAGCAGGTACAATGGACTGGACACTAGAAATCTTCTTTTCACTCAATAGTACATAGGCATCTTGGAATTCACATTTCTGACCTTTTGATGTATTAATAAAGTATAGAGAAATATAACCTCGATCAAACTTCATGCCTTCAATAATTCCCAATTTATTATTCAGTGTTTTTCCATCCTTTAGTGTGATGACACCCTTTCTTCCAACCTTTTTCATTTCATCAGAAATGATGTTGCCAATTTCTTTATCTCCATTTGCAGAAATCATAGCAACCTGAGCAATTTCTTCAGGGGTTGTCACGGGTTTAGACTGCTTCTTAAGTTCAGCGATTACAGCATCAACAGCTAACATTACACCTCTCCTGATTTCCACAGGATTAGCACCTTTGCTAATCATCTCGAAGCCTTCCTTGGCAATAGAGCATGGCAAGACAGTAGCAGTAGTGGCGCCATCCCCAGCCTCTTTGTGTGTGTTGTTGGCAACATCTTGAACAAGTTTAGTACCAATATTTTTATAATTGTCTTTTAAGTCAATTGACTTTTTTTTAATACATTTGTTTTTTTATTGGTGTTCAATTTACCAACAAACAGAATAACACCCAGTGCTCATCCCATCAAGTGCCCCCCTCAGTACCCGTCACCCACTCACCCCCACCCCCCGCCCTCCTCCCCTTCCACCACCCCTAGTTCGTTTCCCAGAGTTAGGAGTCTTCCATGTTCTGTCTCCCTTTCTGATATTTCCCACACATTTCTTCTCCCTTCCCTTATATTCCCTTTCACTATTATTCATATTCCCCAAATGAATGAGAACATATAATGTTTGTCCTTCTCCGATTGACTTACTTCACTCAGCATAATACCCTCCAGTTCCATCCACGTTGAAGCAAATGGTGGGTATTTGTCATTTCTAATGGCTGAGGAATATTCCATTGTATACATAAACCACATCTTCTTTATCCATTCATCTTTCGATGGACACCGAGGCTCCTTCCACAGTTTGGCTATTGTGAACATTGCTGCTAGAAACATCGGGGTGCAGGTGTCCTGGCGTTTCATTGCATCTGTATCTTTGAGGTAAATCCCCAACAGTGCAATTGCTGGGTCTAGGGCAGGTCTATTTTTAACCCTTTGAGGAACCTCCACACAGTTTTCCAGAGTGGCTGCACCAGTTCACATTCCCACCAACAGTGCAAGAGGCTCCCCTTTTCTCCGCATCCTCTCCAACATTTGTGGTTTCCTGCCTTGTTAATTTTCCCCATTCTCACTGGTGTGAGGTGGTATCTCATTGTGGTTTGGATTTGTATTTCCCTGATGGCAAGTGAGGCAGAGCATTTTCTCATGTGCATGTTGGCCATGTCTATGTCTTCCTCTGTGAGATTTCTCTTCATGTCTTTTGCCCATTTCATGGTTGGATTGTTTGTTTCTTTGGTGTTGAGTTTAATAAGTTCTTTATAGATCTTGGAAACTAGCCCTTTATCTGATACGACATTTGCAAATATCTTCTCCCATTCTGTAGGTTGTCTTTGAGTTTTGCTGACTGTATCCTTTGCTGTTGAAAAGCTTCTTATCTTGATGAAGTCCCAATAGTTCACTTTTGCTTTTGTTTCTTTTGCCTTCGTGGATGTATCTTGCAAGAAGTTACTGTGGCTGAGGTCAAAAAGGGTGTTGCCTGTGTTCTCCTCTGGGATTTTGATGGAATCTTGTCTCACATTTAGATCTTTCATCTATTTTGAATTTATCTTTGTGTATGGTGCAAGAGAGTGGTCCAGTTTCATTCTTCTGCATGTGGATGTCCAATTTTCCCAGCACCATCTATTGAAGAGACTGTCTTTCTTCCAGTGGAGAGTCTTTCCTCCTTTATCGAATATAGTTGACCATAAAGTTCAGGGTCCACCTCTGGGTTCTCTATTCTGACTTTGCTACGGTCACACCATCCTTTGTTACTTTGGGACTTCCCCAACTCTGTTCAATAATCACTGTTCTTCCCTTTGGCCCCATAGTAACGGATACAGCATCGGCTAGGAGATCTACACCTTGAAGCATTAAGGCTCGGGCATTGGCACCAAATTTTACATCCTTGGCAAAGGCCCGAGTGAGATGAGGATCCAGGGCTCTGGACACTGGCCTGATCTGACGGAAGCCTGCGGGTAATCGAAGCATTTCTGCGGGACCGCGGCGGAGCGTGCGGGCGGCGAGGCAGGCCGGCAGCGGCGACTGAGGGGCAGAGCCCCATGTTTGCCTTCAATCAAACATTTAAAGAAGAGTTAATACCTGTTCTTCTGAAATTTTTCCAAAAAATAGAAACGGAAGGAAAATTTCCAAGCTCATTCTATAAGGCCAGCATTACCTGACTCCAATACCAAACAACCCCAATAAAAGGGCTATAACTAGCCTATCCCTGATGAACATGGATGCAAAAATTCTCAACAAGATACTAGCAAATCAAATTTAACAGTGCATTAAAAGAGTTATTCACCAGGATAAATGGGATTTATTCCTGACCTGTGCTGCAAGGGTGGTTCAATATTTGCAAATCAATCAATGTGATACTTCACATTAATAAAAGAAAGGATAAGAACCATATGATCCTATCAATAGATGCAGGAAAAGCATTTAGCAAAATACAGTATCCTTTCTTTTTTTTTAAGATTTTATTTACTTAAGCATGAAAGACACACACACAGAAAGAGGTGGAGACATATGCAGAGGGAGAAGCAGTCTCTCTGTGGGGGCCTGATGCAGGACTCAATTCCAGGACCCCGGGATCACACCCTGAGCCAAAGGCAGATGCTTAACCACCGAGCTACCCAGGTGCCCCTACAGCAGCCTTTTTTTTTTTTTTAACATTTTATTTATTTATTCATAGAGACACATAGAGACAGAGGCAGAGACACAGGCAGAGGGAGAAGCAGGCTCCATGCAGGGAGACTGACGTGGGATTCCATCCCGGGTCTTCGGGATCACACCCTGGACTGAAGGTGGTGCTAAACCGCTGAGCCACCCAGGCTGCTATGGCAGCCTTTCTTTATTAAAAAACCCACAAGAAAGTAGAGATAGAAGGAATAATATACCTCAACATCATAAGGGCCACGTATGAAAGACACACAGTTAATATCATCCTCACTGAGGAAAAACTGATGGCTTTTCCCCTAAGGTCAGAAGAATAACAGGGATGTACACTCTCACCATTGTTCAAAATAGTACTGGAAGTCCTAGTGTCAGTAATAAAACAAGAAATATAAGGCATCCAGATAGGCAAGGAAGAAATAAATCTTTCACTATTTGCAGATGAATTGATATTCTATTTTTAAAAGATTTTATTCATTTATTCATGAGAGACAGAGAGAGAGAGAGGGGCATAAACACAGGAGAGGGAGAAGCAGGCTCCATGCAAGGAGCCTGACGTGGGACTTGATCCCCGGTCTCCAGGATCATGCCCTGGGCTAAAAGCGGCGCTAAACCGCTGAGACACCTGGGCTGCCCTTGACTTGATATTTTATATAGAAATTCACAAGTCTCTACCAAATAATTACTAGAACTGATACAGGAATTCAGCAACATCTCAGGGTATAAAATCAATATATGGAAGTATTTTGCAATTCTATATACCAATAATGAAGCAGGAGAAAGAAATGAAGGAACTGACCTCTTTTACAATTGCACCAAAATCCGTATGATAACTAGGAGTAAACCTAAACAAAGAGGTAAAATAAATAGATAAATAAATAAATAAATAAATAAATAAATAAATAAATAAATAAATAAAACAAAACAAAACAAAAAACCTGTTTGCTGAAAACTACAAAACACTTATGAAAGAAATTAAAGAAGAAACAAATAAATGGAAAAACACTTGATGCTCATGTATTGGAAGAACAAATATTGTTAAAATGTCTGTACTACCCAATGTAATCTACACATTCAATGCAATCTTGATCAAAATAAAGTGAGATCTGGGAAACAAGCCTCAGATCTGTGGGAAAAGAACTCCACACCAGAGAGCAGCCTGCAGATGAGACTCTGCCTGCTGGCCTTCTGGACGTGAGCTCCTAACCTTCTATGCAGGGGCTGGGCCTTGGAGGAGGCACCAAAGCTGGATTAACCACAACAGCTCTACCAACATCAGTCTGTGTATCTACTAGTACACTCCATTCAGTATATTAATTTCTTAATAAATTTGTCAAAGCAAAAGAAATAATAATAATAATAACATCAGTATTTTTCACAGAGCTAAAACAAATACTAAAATTTGTATGGAACCAGAAAAGACTGCAAATAGCCAAAGTAATGTTGAAAAAGAAAAGCAAAGTAGGAGGCATCACAATCCCAGACTTAAAGCTGTATTACAAAGCCACAATTATCAAGACAGTGTGGTACCCGTGTAAAAACAGACACATAGATCAATGGAACAGAATAGAGAACCCAAGGCAGCCCCGGTGGCGCAGTGGTTTAGCGCCGCCTGCAGCCCGGATCCTGGAGATCGAGTCCCGCATCGGGCTCCCTGCATGGAGCCTGCTTCTCCCTCTGCCTCTCTCTCTCTCTCTCTCTCTGTGTGTCTCTATGAATAAATAAATAAAAATATTTTTAAAAAAGAATAGAGAACCCAGAAATGGACCGTCAAATCTATGTATGGTCTACCAATCTTCAAAAAAGCAGGAAAGAATATCCACTGGAAAGACAGTCTTTTCAACAAATAGTATTGGGGAAATTGGACAGCCACTTGCAGACAAAAGAAATTGAACCTCTTTCTTACACCATACACAAAAATAAATTAGAAATAGATGAGAGACCAAAATATAGGACAGGAAACCATCAAAATCCTAGAGGAGAAAACAGCGACCTCTTTGACCTCAGCTGCAGCAAATTCTAGAGAGGATTCTAAAGGCAAAGGAAACAAAAGCAAAGGTGAACTACTGGGACCTCATAAAGATTAAAAAACAAACAAACAAACAAACAAAAAAGCTTCTACATGATGAAAGAAATAATCATAAAAACTAGAAGACAACCTACAGATATTTGCATGACATGGGATAAAGGGCTAGTATGCAAAAATCTATAAAGAACGTATCAAATTCAATACTGAAAAACCTAAAAATGCAATCAAGAAATGGGCAGAAGACGTGAACAGATATTTCTCCAAAGAAGACATACAAATAACTACATATGTAATACATACATACATTCATACATATAAATGACTAAGAGACACATACAAAAAATGCTCTATGTCACTCAACATCAGGGAAATACAAATCAAAACCACAGTGAGATACCACATCACACCAGTGAAAATGGCAAAAATTAACAACTCAGGAAACAATAAATGTTGGAGAGGATGTGGAGAAAGGGGAACCCTCTTGCAGTGTTGGTGGGAATGCAGACTGGTGCAGCCACTCTGAAAAAACAGTGTGGATGTTTCTCAAGAAGTTAAATATAGTTACCCATGAACCAGCAATTGTGCTATGCGGTATTTATTCAAAGGATATAAAGATTCTGACTCGAAGGGGCATTTGCACCCCATGTTTATAGCAACATTATCAACAGCTAAATTATGGAAAGAGCCCAAATGTTCATTGACAGATGAATGAATAAAGAAGGCGTCATATTTATATACAATGGAATATTACTCAAACATCAGAAAGAATGAAATCTTGCCATTTGCAGTGATGGAGCTGGAACTACAGTATATTATGCTAAGCAAAATTAGTCAGAGAGAGACAAATCCATATGAATTCACTCATATTTGAAATTTAAGAAACAGGGATGCCTGAGTGGCTCAGTGATTGAACATCTGCCTTTGGTCCAGGGCATGATCCTGAAGTTTCAGGACTGAGTCCTGCATCGGGCCCCCTGCATGTGGTCCTCTGCCTGTGTCTCTGCCTCTCTCTCTAGCTCTCTGTCTCTCATGAATCAATCAATCAATCTTAAAAAAAAAAAAAGAAATTTAAGAAACAAAACAGATGAACATAGAGAAGGAAAGGAAAAAAATAAAATAAGATAAAAACAGAAAGGGAGGCAAACCATAGGAGGCTTAACTATAGAGAACAAATAGGGTTGCTAGAGGGAAATGGGATAAATGGGTGATAGGCATTAAGGAAGGCACTTTTATTGAGCACTGGTTGTTATATGAAAGTGATGAATCATTAAATTCCACTCCTGAAAACAATACTACACTGTTAACTAACTTGAATTTAAATAAAAAGGAAAAAATATTACATATAACATTCATTTATTGGAATTCATTAAAAGTTGTTTTGTGGCCTAGTATATGTTCATTTTTGGAAATATTCCACCTGTGCTTAAAAATTTGATTATTATGTATTCTTGACTACTGAGGGGCAGGATGCTTGACCGATAGAGAGCAGACATATACATCAATTGGTAACAGAAAATTATAGATCTCCTCCATCAATTCCTTTGCCTTCTTTATTAAACTTATAACTCACATATTCAATTTCTCAGGTTTATCCATCAAGTCAATTTCTGTCATGATTTCTTGACTTTCAACTGTGTGCTCTGAGTATTGATTATGTTCTGTGCTTTTTCTGTGATTTTTATTTTCTCCTTTCTTGATTTTAATTGGGTTAATAATATTTTCTTCATTCCCCTCCCAAACTAGATTGTATTTATATTAATAGTTCTTTTATTGGATACTTTTATATTTATAATGTGCATATTAGGTCAAAATAGTTTTTAAAGTTAGTTTTTATAAAGGACATTGGAAGAGAACTTGGCTCATATATATTAAAATACATAATCTTTTCACGATCCCCAGAATATAATATGGGTGCAAACATAGAAACATAGATATGCAAATCAAAATATAACCTCCCCTAAAAAAAGTATATGTGGGAATGTAACATGTCAAAAATACTACTTCAACATAGTGGGAAAATCGTAGTTAACAAATCTTCTTGCACCACAGAAAGAATATAAAATATCACCTAGTTCACAGCATACAGAAAAATAAATTTCACAAAATTGTAAATATGGTAAACACTTAAAAATAATGGAAAACACACACACACACACGAACTCACACACCACTGTGAAAAATGAAACTCAAATTTCTAAATAAAAAGATAAGCATATTGATTAAACAGGTTTTCATTAATTTTGCAAGTCAAATTATATAACAAACAGAATCAAATAAAAATAAGTGCAATGCATATGACAAAATGCTAACCTAAATTTCTTCATTTGGACCCGATATTTAACCATT